CAACCTACTACAACTCACACCAAACAACCAATCAACTATCAACTCAGCCGATGATATCCTACTCGAACTAGATGGTATGTCCATTCACCCAATCTCAACAACCAGTACTACATCCAATCTGAATCTGACCCCCCTCCCCCCTCATCTCATCAAGCCTTTGCATTTCTCGATCAAAGCCTCTGCTCGCTAATCGACCCGGTAAGCTCACCCACCATCAGATTCTCAATTCTACAAGTTGGTTGAGGGAAGCTAACCAACTCCTCATAATCCCAATTCAAGGCTCATGATCTGATCGAGTAAGCATCTTTCATCTCTAGGCCTTTTTTGTTTCATCCTTTAACTGATCTCCCCCTCCTTGGTAGTGTCAAGACCCTCTCTCCCATCCCATCTAGCTCACAAATCCAACCGAGCAAGAAGAGACGCAGATCACAGGCCAAGACCCAAACCACCCCCACCGAACCACTGCCATCACCTCAGCGATCGAAGAGTCAACCGGCTGAACGTCCAATCAAGCCACTCCAGCAATCTAAGCTATCCAAACCTACTACTCATCAACCTCCTCCAAACCTACCCAAGATCCACTCCCCATCCACCTCCTCAGTCAATCCTGCGAATCTCCAAAAGGATACACCTGCTTTCAAGGGCAAGGAAAACCATCTACCAAAGCCAGGAATCAGAGAAAAAGAATCAAACGAATTCAGAGAGCGCGAGAAGAAGCAATCAACTGTGCTTGGGATCAATCAAACCCAAGCTCACTCCAGCCAAAACAACAAACTTCAATCCAAGCCACCTCAAGCGACTACCAAGGGGGCTCTTAACATCAACCAAGGAGCCAAGACCGACTCATCAAAAAGTAGCAAGGATTGTTCCAGTAGTGAGACCAGTAGTCGACAAAATCAATCTAGTTCCGATTCTTCCTCCGGAACTAGCTCTGATGATTCATCATCAAGCTCCTCATCCGAGTCTGACTCTGACTCTGACTCTGAACCTGCTACATCGGTCCCCAAGTCAACTCTTTCGGAAGCATCGTCACAACCATCCGAACTACCCTCGAAACGACCAAACCTCATGGCACCGATCACTCAAAAAAAGGTACCAATCGTCCCCAATCCCCATCTGACCATGCTCTCCCTATCTAATAAGAACAAACGCAAGAACCTCAAGCGGAAATCAGGTCCTGAGCAGCTAGCTCAACCTAGCAAGATTGTATTCGGATCCGGCCCATCCGAAGAAGCTTCAATGAGTCCAGTCAAGAGCCCCTGTTACATGCCCCCATCCCCCAATCTGGGCACAGCTCCCACCTCACCCATCCTTGCACCAGCTGATTTACCTCAGAAAGATTATTTTTCATATGATTATGCGTCCTTCAATAATTGTAATGAGGAGGAGGAGGGGGAGGAGCAAGAGGAGGAGTTTGTCGATTATTCGGTCACCCATGCCGCTCGTTCTCATGGCCCACCTCCCTCTGCCCGAGACTTCGATCTAATCCCATCCAACGTTCTCATCACCTCGATCAATGTTCTCAATCCCTACTGGACACCTGGTCAAACCGGCGAGCGATGGGATTATGATCAGCCGACTTATACACAGCTTGCTTACGAGCAGACGGTCAGCAAGAAGACGCGCAAGAACCGTAAGAAATCGCTCAAACGACGTCGTAGAATTGCAGCTAAGACTCGGCTTGCAGACCAAGGGCAACAGGGGGATGCGGAAGAGGAAGAGGAAGACGGGGGATCAGATGGATCGGAGATTGATGAGGAAATCCGGAAAGACGTCGAAGACGCTTATGCTGAATTTATCGGTTCAGGTGGCCACAGCTCCCATCAACAAAACGATCCCAATCTCCGCCCGGACGGGCTCCTTGAATCTCTCAATCAGACATGGGATCAACTCGAGAAAGTCGACAGGAAGAGCGCCGTCCTGGGTTCTAAAGTAGCCATTCGAGTTAGTCAATATAAATTTTAGCATTTTCTAAATGAAAACCCATTAAGTGAGAAAAGAAGAAGGAAGCTGATGATTCCTTCGTCTTCCTCCGCCTAGACAATTGAGCTCTCAGTAGAGAGTTTCACGCCCGAAACGATGACCTATTACGGCACATTGGTTGGAACGAACGAGAGTACTCTAGCTCTGAAGCTTGACCGGGGATGCATACCGACTGGGCAAGGGATGATGGAGACGAGCGGGTATGATCAAACCGATGAGGCTGCGATGGATGATGATCAAGGAGAAGGGCAAGAGTCTGACGAGGAGGAGCGGATGGTGGACGTGAAGGAGGCTATCAGGGCTCACCAGAGAAACGCTCTGGCTCTTGACGTCTGGGGCGGTTCGAGCGATGTTCGTGATTGGGAGTGGAACACGATCATCGATGCTCGAAAACTCTGAAAGTTTCCTTCAGAGCCTTTTCTTTTTTTTCGTTCATCCTCATACTTGATCTTGCCACCAGCTCTTGGCTCTAATGATTAAAAACACTAAATTACGTAGTTCTGCGTCAGTGAACCAGTTCCTCTCATGGATATTTAATGAGTGTTTTATGTTATTTTTATAACAGAAAAAAATGAAAAATTGGGAAAGCTGAAGGATGGTTTGAAAATGAGATATGCCCAGTAATGTGAGGTCAGATGATGCCGTGTTGGCCTTCCTTAAGATAAGAAATTCTCCAATCTGGTGATAAACTCATGTATACTTTAAGTAAACCCTAGGCAAACCAGCTCCGTATACTTATTTTGGGGATAATCCGATAAGAATATTCATGTTTCAAGCCACGCCACTCCATGTGGGGAGCGGGGAGGGGAGTCAAACTCCAAAAACTGTGGTCAAGCTGAGATATGATGCACATCAGTCAGAGCATCCAAGTCTTTCTTGATTGGGAAGTGGTTGAGTTGCCGTGGGATGTGTGCAGTGATGAAGGGTCCATCCATTCCAAGGGGTTTGGATGAATGGGGGTGTTGAGTGTGTTGAGTGAATGGGGACAAGGGGGTGTACGGAATAGGCTGAGTCAGCAGGAGGGGTGTCCAGTCAGTGTTGCTCTCTTTGAACTTTCAAGTCCAAGAGCACAAAGAAACAGTTCCCTTCAACAACAACAAGGAACGCACCGAGAACTCGACAGAACAAAAAGAAAATAGAAAGAAGCGGAGATGACTGCCGGCAAACCAATCAACGAACGAACCGCACTCCTACGACACCCACTACCCCAGATACTCAAGCATCATAGCAGTCCAGCAGGAGAACTACTCCCCCAAACTCCATCCACTCAACCAACGCTCATCTCTCACTCCAACTTCCATCTCACAAACGCGTATCATCTGGCCGGATTAGGTTAGCACACTCATCCTAGTACTTCAAATTCATTGCACTCTGCTGACGGTCGATTTTCAGTTAATGATCAGGGCGGGGAGTATGAGAAATATAGGAAATCTTCCGAGGAACTCAAACAACTGGTTGAGTATCAATTGCCTATCCATCAACAACCAACCAAATATTCACTCACATGTTATGACGGAAATACAGTCGAGTAAGGCTAGGCAATTCTACGAGCGGCAGAACGAGATTCTGGATTATTTCCAAGAGATAGACTCGGTTCTCGACAGTTCGCGTCGAAGGTCGAGTGCCGGAGTGACTCCAGAGCGGAGGAGGAGCGAAGGATTGATCGAGCCTCATGATCTGGAAGCTGATCCGCTATTGGACCATGAGCAACGACCCGGTGAACCGGTGGAATGTGCTCATAAATTGGATCGCGAACGTAAAGAGAGTCTCAGCGTTAGACGGACAATTAGTATCAACTTCTTTGTGAGCTGGACTTTCTAGTACATTTTCTAGACTCTCCTATTCCCGACTGACCTCTTGATCTTCTTTTGCTTCAATCACATTAGATCAATTTCCTTCTGCTGGCTGGAAAGATCGTTGTAGCTTTACTCTCGAACTCGATCTCCTTAATTGCCTCCTTGGTCGATAGCGCCATGGATTTCCTATCAACTGCTATCATCTGGTGGACAAGTTCAGTAGATTTATTTTTCAAGGGGGCACAAAAAAAGACACGCGTTCTCATACTGTTCATACCGCGTTCGCAGATCGTAAAATCGATAGCAAAAGTTGGCAATCCATTTGGCAGTACCCTGCCGGAAAAAGGTAGTGTAATCTTTCTGAACTAGGCTCCACGGATGCCAATTGTGCAGTTATGTGTGTATGACGATCAAAGATCCTCAACCAATTTTGTTTTTTCTTCCCTTGGATTATTTTTTTTTCTGTAGACGGATGGAGCCAATGGGCGTAGTGGTATTCTCGGTGTTCATGATCTCCTCATTTGTCCAAGTCTTAGTGGAATCGATCGAACGACTGTTTGCCGGATCAAACGCCGGGATCAGCATCCCCTTCACCTCGATGATCGTCATGTGGGTCACCATCCTCGTCAAAGGCGTCGTATGGCTCTGGTGTCGTAGGAAGAAAAATACTAGTGTCAAGGCGTTGGCTCAAGATGCTGAAAACGATTGGTTAGTTTAATGTTCCCCCCTGCAGAGGCCTTTCCCCCCCCCCCCCCCTATTTTTTGGGTTACTCATTGCAAACTGCTGTGCTCGTCTCTGCATCTTTCCAGTATCTTAAACATCTTCTCACTTTTGTTTCCTTACATCGGCCTCACATTCAATCTGCCTTGGTTAGATGCGGTCGGCGGATTAATCCTATCATTATACAGTAAATTCCCCTTCCTTAAGGTAGATCTGCCCAGCTCCGAAGATAGCAAATGATTGATTCAAGTGCGTTTAAAAATACAGTCATTACCGAATGGACGGGGACGTTATTTGACAATGTCAAGAATCTGACTGGTCGCCGAGCCGACCCAATCCAGCACCAACGAGTAGCATATCTGGTCACCCGCTTCTCGCCTTTGATCCAGGCTGTCCAGCACTGCCATGTCTATCAGGCTGGCGATGACTTGATTGTTGAGACGTCAGTCAAATATTTCTTTTTCTTTTCTCTTTGTTTAGTTTGATTCTCCTTTTGGTTGAATCTTTTTGTTGCCCTGGATACCCACTTTTTTTAGAGATGTGATTCTCTCACCCGAAACCCCACTGGTGAGTCTCTGGAATATATGCTATTTGTGATATTGTGTTAGTTTGACTGGACCTGAACCTCCCACCTGTGTTATGCTTTTTCTTAGCCTGTTGCTCACGATGTCGGTGAATCGGTACAATATGCCCTTGAGTCGCTTGATGGCATTTCACGAGCTTGTAAGTTACGCCTATCCTTGCTTCTGAGGTTTCCTTTTTTGGTTGATTGTTGACAACACTTGTTATGTCAAAAAAACAGATTGCCATGTGGATTTTAGTAGTAATCCGATGTCTGGTCACTTTCAACGATAGACTTAAGCTTCTCGATATAGATTTTTTCAATACGTTCGGATCGCTTCCTTCCCATAAATAAGTTGCAAAGTTTTTCCGCTTCTTTCTTAATTTCATCGTCGTTATCATTACTCGCAATATCTTCGCAAAATAGATTTGATCGTTTTTGTTTTGTTAATATTAATCAACCCCCATCGTCATCAGCCAGACGTGCTGAGTTACCCATTCATCTGCCGTTTGGTTGATCTTTCCCATTGTTGTACTCATACTCTCCCCTCCCAACAAAAAGCCCCAACATGTCTGCGGTAGATGCATTGAAAAATTCAACTTGTAGTTTCATCAACTTACCAAGATTTGTAACCTTCTGTTGCCATGCTTGAATGCGTTTTAATTTGCATTTTTTTTCTGTTGTTGTTTGGTCACCTCTTCAGTACAAAACCAATATTAGACTGAAGCTTGATCAGTTCTACACCCTGCAGAGGATTGAATCACATATTTTCTGGAAGACTGAATTGTTTCTTTCTTGGTACCACTTTGGCGAGTTCAAGGAGAACCCGTAACCCACCCCGTCAGTGAAAGGGTTACTATTTTGGGAGGAGAGCAAAAACAAAGATTATTTGGGATAGTGCTATTTTCAAGAACGATGGTAACCAAATAAATAATAATAATAATAACATTAACGTCTGCGTTTATGGACCATTAACTGTCTTTTTGAAATTTTCCTAGGTTGCATTGAAGCCCCATTGCTTCCAATGGCGCAGGGTAAGGAAAGGTGAGTTGTACGTATGATCATGCAAGGGCTGAAATAATTCGATCTGATGTCGTTTTAAGCACTCTTGGATTTGCAATGAAGAAAGAGTAGAAGTTTGGGCAAGATACCACTCTGTGAACGATTTGACGGTGGAGTAGCGGAAGACCATGGCCAGTTGGATAGAGTATTGGAGCTGAGAGATCAGGGTGGTCAACTGGAGATTGGGATTGAATGATTGAGCACCTTTGTAGAAGGAGAGCGCGACGAATTGTTCGAGAGCAGATTGGACGGGCGGGAGGTCGATCTGATTGGAAAATGAAACAAATCGGATGACGAGCCGGTCGATCGATTTGAAGAGAATCTCGATGGAATTAGTATCATCGGTCTGGGTCGTGCGGAAGAACTCGGAGAGGAGATCCATCAGTGGCGCTTGGCTGGGGTTCCAACACTTGGCAACTTCGTCTTGACTCCATAAGAGGGTAAAGACTAAGAGCTTGGCTAAGGTAGCAGCGTATTCGGCAGCCGAAGATCCCTCTGGCAGCGGATCTAATGCCTCAGATTCTTCAATTTTCCTGTGTGTTAGTTATCCAAGTCAGTTGTTGTATACAAGGATGATGACTGATGCTTAGATACAAAAGTGTATGTACTCTTTAGATACTGAGAGTGCTGCTTTTCTCAGTGATAGGGTTGAGGTATTGAGCTTTTTCATGCGGTCTTCTAACCATCGTTGCAAGACAGGTTGCCATCGGTAGTGTCGTTCATCGACCGTTGTATTAATCCTCGCCAGCTGCTTGTCGTCGATGAGTTTCTTGCACCATTCGATGTGATCGGGTATGCCTGTAGACTGGTCAAGTGGAATAGCTCTAGATGCAGACTTTCGAGCAGCAATTTCTGGGCGGGATTGCTGGGGTACAGGAGAGTCGACTTCTATTTGGTCGCATTGTTCTTTTGATTTATCAGGTGGGATCACTTGTGTAGTTTCTGTTGGGGTGGGTAAGAAAGAGTCCTCCTCTTCGGATTCAGAGTCTGCTGCTGTAGAATCGGCCTCCAGGATATTAAAGAGTTCTGCAAATTGCTGGCTTCGGTTGGCTGAAGTGTTTTGATAGGCAGTTTTTTTTTTTTTTTTTTTTTTCGATCAGAATGGGAGATAGTTGGAACGTGATATAGTTGCACAAGAGAAAGAAAGACTAACATTCAATCGGAAGATTTCTGGATGTTAAATGGGGAACCTGAGCAGGATCCGAAGACAGGTGGCGGAATGTCCTGGTGTATCGAATATCCGGGGAAATTAGATCGTGTTCTCTTGGGGGCCATTTTACCAACATGTCGTACCCTATAAGAGGATATCATTTAATAATCAGGCTGCCTGACCCAGTTAATCTTAAAAGGTAAAAATCAAAGAGATTAAGTATACGGACTTCTGTTTGCAGATTCTGCAATGAATTCGAAGTTACGCCGGAACAAATCAACCTGTTCCAGTGGACTATGTTTGTACTTGATACCAAAATATCTCGGCCGATTCGTCTGGAGTGTTTGGCAGTAAATTTTGCTGGTACTGGATTTCCAATCGGACTGATGTTCCGCGAGGTAGTCTGTTGAGAGTCGGATCAAATCAGTATCTATGTATTTATTTCTGTGGAGTTGAAGAAGAAGAAAAAAAAAACAAAGAAGCTGACCATGATGCTCATAGGAAAAGTGTAGTGCCATTGCGCGATCCTTCCTACAAATAAATCCACATCTCGCGCACCTTACCCCATGATGAAGAACCAGACCTTCGATGGGTTCCCTGAGGAGCTTCTGAGCTGTATAGCCTGTAGGATAACTGGGAATAGGCGGTGGTGTGTCATGGCAGACCTTCTTCAGAGCCTCCTTGATGGTGCGTTCGTTGACTTGTTTGTCATGCAATGCTTGCATGTGGCCTGGGACGTTCGATAGATTCAAGCCGGTACGGCAGGTGAAGCAAATGATCATTTTGGTATGCTTGTTCCACATGAGGCCATATTCGATCAACGCGTCTACAACTGGGAGCAGAGGATGTGAAGAGGGGAGCGTCAGAACTACTTGTCAAGGCTTTTCTGAGCAAAGGAGAAGTGCTTGACCAGTGATTTGTTGATCGATGGCGATCAGCTTTGGGGCAACATTCGTTTCGTACGGCCAGCCGAGTTTGAGGAAGCATCGTTTGGTGTGCACATGGACGGCCCGGGGCTTGGTGGACTTGAAGAGACAGCCGACGGTCGGACAGCTGAAGTGCCGATCGTCTCCCCTTTCGAGGGTGACGATTGACTTGTCATAGAGCGTGCACTTGACCCGGCGCTGGTGCAGGTTTCGGACATGAGTCTTCCTGGCGGACTGAGTCTCGAAGTCCTCGGGACACTGACGGCACCCGTATTCTAGCCGCCACCATCTGTAGGACATCGTCGGTGGTGGTGATTGAAATATTGGAGTACACTATATTCCAACTCACATACAAATAATGGGTCGAAGGCTCGATGGAGTTGACTTCTTTTTGCTGGGCCCACCGGTGAAGTGAGCCATGAGGAAGCTCAAGCAATCTTCAGGCTCGGCTGGCCGGCGTGCGAGACTCCGGAGGGACGGAGACAGCTTGTGGTTTAGTAGTGGCTTTGCCCGCCGCCCGGGGAGGAAGCCCCCGAGCAGCCGATCGGCATCCTGATCTCACACAAACAAAAAAAAAACCAAGTTTTCTTGTGTCGCCGACCCGGGATCAGGCCAGAGCTGGAAGAAGAGGACGATGCCGGAATCCGATTGGAGAGAAACACTTGCAAGGGTCCGTAAGGCATCAAAGAGTCGTCAGTCCACTTCAATCCACAGTTTCTTTTCTCGACCGACTGCCGTATATTCACTTACTCGACTGATGAAACTCACACTTTGGTGCCTGCCTATATCGATCAACAGCCGCCGTCGTTAGCGCCCTGAATGGCATGACTCACTCATACAACTTTTCACCCGATCATATAGCACCAGCCGTCCGGGATCGAAATCTAACCGCCCAAGACATGAACGAGAAAGCCAAGATCTTGGAGGAATTGCTATCAGACCTGCTTCCTTCAATCAATGACCAACTCAACTCTCTGTTATCCTCACTCGACCTAATCGATCTCGAGAAGAACCCAGACCCTGACTATGTTTCAACCCTGGAAATCTTATCAGTGCTTGATAAGACTTTGCAGAGTGTGGTATCTTCAATCGTCTTCCTCACTCTCAATTCGCCTCTACCAGACGAGAAACACGACCACGGCTTGAAGAACTTGAAGATCTATAGATGCTCTCATCTACGAAACAAAGTGGAGGCTTTGATCGTAGACATCATCAGCAACCGGCTCTTCCCAACCTGCGCGAGCTGCGTCGAATTCAGCGCCCTGTCAACCGTCTGCACCCAACGCCATGGGGTTTGGAATGAGGTGTCCAGAACCAGGGAAGAGATTCACATGATTGTGACTGACGCTCAGCGTACAATCAATAAGACGATCAATTGGGCCCGCAAGCTTGACTGGGCCACGATCCAGGAAGCTTGGCTACTGTCATCCGATCTTTTTGATATCATCCTTGAGCTCTTCAGCAGGGCAATCAACCCCGCAAGTCAATCGATACCCGAAGATGATCCGACTACTACTAACAATCTCAAGAACGAAAACGCTGCGATAGAACTACTGGCTCAACTGGCCAAATCAACCATACCGCTCCTCAAATTAGGAAGGATCTTGGTCAAGGGGACCTTGGAATGGATTTCGAAGAATCTAGTATTTCGGATCAACACGGAGGTCAACTCAGAGGCTTTAGAGCAGCTACGCAAAGTCTATAAATTGATCATTGTGCCTCTTGAAGACCTTGGCCAGCTCTTGGGGATTCTTCAACTCAGAAATCGAGCGATCAATGTTGAAAATCAAACTAACATTCAAAGATCAGTTCTCAATTTGACGGAAGCAATGAGTTCTAGCCTAGTCATTCTAGATTCCTATCTGCTTCCTTTTTTGCATTAGTCTAAATGACTCCCAATATGCTTGCTGCTCACACCCTTTGTTGTTACAAAACCTGTCTACTGCTCTTGTACTCCGCATGAAAAAAATGCCATGTCTTGGTTGTATGGACTGTTGTTGTCTTGATTATATTTTACTAGATGAATACAAAGTTGTTTATATTACATAGTAGCCAAAGAATGCCACTTCCTGCCTTGGATCTTGACGCCAACTGACAATTGTACCAGGAGAAATATAGCATGGTCTACCAGAGCAATCTCCTACTGGCCAACCAGGTAGCACCATGTAGACCAATCAAACTTTTGCAATGGTACATGTAATTAGCTTACACTTCGCCAAACTTGTTACTTCAGGCACCTTGTCCCTTAGTTTGATTGTCAGGATATGCAAACAATGAGCTCACGAGAGTTGTTTTGGGGATAGAACAGGCTGTTTCCCCACAATTTCACGTTGGCTTCAAGTTACAGATTGTAAAACTCATTAGATTCCTTCTTACTTAGCTGGCCGTTAGGAGATGGAAAAGAATTGGTTCATGAGACTGTGGTAGGAACAAGACAAGCTGGTTTTTCCCTAATGCCACTTTAAACAGTGAAAAGGAGGGCTCACTACCTATCAATCAACAGCTTATAAATAGAGAGACACAGATCAATTCTGTGCAGATTTTTTTTGGTACATAACAACGATATTTTCAAGAGCCACCGATAGGAATCATGTAGAGAAACGAATAGAAGGATTTATGGACTATCGGTTATTTTCTAGCTTCCTCGAGTGCATTCAAACCGAGTTGCTTCCAATCCCGAAGGGTGATAAAGGGAGAGTTGAAATCGTTATTGTGCAACGGTCGAAAGAATCTAAGCCGGTGTTTTTTCAAGGATTCTTTCATTTGTGATTGGGAAGGGTTCAAGGATTTGCTCTTGAGATATGTTTCGAAGATCGATGCCTCGGTACAGAAAGAGAAAACCATGGCAATCTGGATACAATATTGGATCTTGGTGAGTGTATTGACGAATTTGAGGGCCGAATCGTAACCGTCATGACTGCCTTTGTAAAACGAAAGCGCGATGAACTCCTCGAGAGGAGATTGGACTTGGGGACGATGGAATTGATTGGAGAACAGGATAAAGCCGATGACGAGTTTGTCGATCGATTTGAAGAGAGCCTCAGTCGGAGATCGTGCAGAGCGGTATGTGTTGAGGAAGATAGCAACAAGTTCCGCATGAGCAGCTTGTTCTAGGTTCTCATTCCCAACAACATGCTGTTTGCGACATCTTCCCGCAAAGAGCAGCAACTGGGTCAAGGTCGTCGAGTATTTTGCAACGGAAGACTCCCCCTCAAGTGGATCTAAGACTTCACAGGATTCGATTTGACTGCGATTTATTCTGAAGTCAGTCGGCTATGTATACACACAGAAGATGTATCATCAACTTACGTGGATGCCGAGAGCACTGCTCTTCTTAATGTTAAAGACAAGCTTCCGAGTTTCTGGGTGCGATTTTCCAGCCACTTCTGGATAAGAGGTTGGAAAGCGGGCTGGAATCGATTGGTGACTAATTTCACAAAAGCCAGATGTTTATTGATTCTTTTTTCCGTGTAAGATTCGATGTGGGCAAGAATGCCGGTAGACTTGGCGAGTGAGATACTAGTAGTAGTCTTATGAACTGGAGCATCTGGCTGAGACGGAGCCGGAAATCGGCGGGTGTCTGCTGGTTCATTACTAGGTTGTAGCTTAGATTTAGGAGTCTTATCACCGGGTGGCCGGTTAGATGGATTGGCTTGGGCAGCTTCTGGCGGGATAGCTGAGGCTTGATTCTCTTCTTCAGATCTCCGCTCGGATTCATCGGATGTGAGGTCTTGATAACCCGCCAGTGAACCAGAAGGCTGATGTCGGTACCTTACGCCAAAGTAAACGGCATGCTTGCCACTCGAGAGAGTTTGACAAAAGATTTTACTGGTACTAACCGGCCATCCACGTCTAACATCTGGAAGGTGGACAGAACAAAATTCAGCCGCTATTCTTTCTGTCTTTCTTTTTCCAAATTGTTGAGAGCAGAAAATAAGCTCACAATCACTGTGTATCGCATCACAGTGGTCCTTCATCGATTGCTGATTAATGCAGGCAAATCCATCGTGGTCACAAGTTAGCCCATGGCGAACAAATAGGCCTTGGACGGGCTCGCCGGGTTGTTGGAGGTTGTAGCCACGCGGAAGGTTGGGAAAGAGAACCGGTGTATCGACCTTGAGATCCTGATCAAGGTAATCGATAAGTGCCTCAACATCGGCCTCCTTGAGATCTACGACACCGTGTCGTTTCGCGTGGACTGGGAGATCCTCGAACGGGATCCCAACGTGGCAGTCCTTGCAAATCAGGATGCGAGCGTACTTATTCCAAGCCAGTTTGAGCCCAGGTATCGCGTCTATAGCTATAGAGACAGAGTGGGGGAACCATTGATTCTTTCTTTGTTTCAGGTAAGGCAAAGTCAATTGAAAAGATTTAATGATGCAGGCATACCGAATACTTGAGATCCGCAGGGGACGAGTTTCCGAGAGATATTGGTGGTCATGCCCCTGAGTTTTCTCAAGCAAACTCGGGCATGGGCATGGAGGGCCATGGGTTTTCTGAGTTTCAAAGGGACAGCCATTGACTGGGCAGTGGAACAGTCGATCAGGCTGTCTCTGGAGAGGGAATATGGAGCTGTCGTACAGCTGGAGGTCGGTTGTCTGCTGGTGGGTGTTTCTGAAGTGGATCTGCCTCTCCAGGGTGGTTTTGAAGTACTGAGGGCATTGTTCACACCAGTATCGGTACTTCATGATTATTCTAAAAAGGCCGTTAGACTGGTTTGTATCTCTATCCACATGTAGGACTCAGTACCAGCTGGTCATGGAAGCCGGAATGAGAATCGGATGTCACTTTCCTGTTGGCGTCAAAAGAGTTCAAGCTGTCCTGGCTGGAGTTGTGGGAGGGAGCGGGCTGGGAGGGGGCCAGGAGATGAGCCGTGAAGACCCCCTCCCCCCACATTACGATTTGATCACGCTCGCCCTCGGCAGTGTGAATTGGATGCGAGGGTTCAGCTGCCTGATGCCTATCACATTCTCTTTGTTTACCTCTCAAGCTCTCTCAAGTGCCTGGCGATATCCACTACAAGCAAACCGATAACGATGGTCTCGGATTCAGTCAGGAAATCCCCGCAGACAGTCGAAAAGGTAGCCAAGATTCGTGAGTGGTTGCTCCGATATTGTATCAAAACTACAAGCATATAATGTACCCTACTCCTGATCACTGATCAAGCACTCATTTGGATCAATATACCGCCAACAACAGCCGCCGTCATTCGTCTCTTGGAGGGGCTAACTCATAAGCATAGTTTTCCGCCCGATCGCATCACCTCAGCCGCAAAGGATCGAAATCTAACGGTTGAGGAGATGGGCGGGAAAGCGCAGATATTGAACGAGCTGCAATCAAACCTTTTACCTTCGATCAGCGATCAGCTCGGCTCGCTGTTAGGCTCGTTGGACTTGATATAGATTCCGATAAGAATCCAGAGCCGGACATCGACTTGACTCTGGAGATCTTATCCAGCCTCGATCAGACTTTAGAGAGCACTGTATCCTCTATCCTCTCCCTCAGCCTCGAATCACCTCTACCGGACAAGAATCATGATCAGGGATTGAAGAAGCTGAAGATGTTTCGATGTTCATATCTACGAGAGAAGATCGAGAGTTTGATTGGAGCGACAATCTATGACAACTTGTTTTTGAGTTTCATGACACCTTCCTCCGATGCTGGATCATCTCGAGTCTTTCCGAACAAGATTCTTGGACTTGGAAGGAGGCGTCCAGTTCGAGGGAAGTGATTCGGTTTACGACAGCTTACATGCCCAACGTCAGGTCGATCAGACGATCAGATTGTCACAACAATCAGATGGTCACGACAATCAGACTGGGCTATCATCCATCAAGACTATCTATTGGGAGCCGAGTCATTTGATAAGGTTCTAGAGCTGTTGACGAGTGCGATAGATATCCGTGGGATGATCCAATCGACCGGGCAAGCCGATCCGAGCCATAGTATCGAGACCGATCCCGAGGAGAGTGAGGCCGGAGGAGATGGATCGATGGTTGATGAAGTAGCTAGGTTTGCGATCACGCTGGTGAAATTAGGAAGACTGCTGTTGAGGAAGACAGCTGAAGCGATTCGGAAGGAACTACTACTACTTGGGATGGACGCAGAGATCAATTCAAAAGGATTACTAGAGCGGTTACACCAGGCCCCCGGATGGATCGTTGGGCCTCTTGAGTATCTTGCCCGGATCCTGAAAACACCCCATGAAGCAGGTCGATCATTGGTGAGGATTAGTCGGATTTGCAATTCAGTCGACAAGCTCCCGAACGCAATGGGATCGGTTCTGAGAGTTCTAGATTCTCATCTGATTCCATCTCTTGGCCGAATTGGAGGTGATTCAATTGAAGGTGATTTGATAGCTATTATAGCTATTACGACTGACTTGAAGTCTTTGTTTCCTAGCTTTGAACAGTTGTGGGATCTGGGTCATGATTGTT